ATGTCTGGAGATAAGTGTGTGTGTGTGTGTGTTGTAAATGCATGTAGTATTAAATCCCCAGAATAAGGAACTGTTCACCTGAACCATCTCGGAAAGTTGTTTTCTGTAAAGTGGACGTGCAGGGGCTAGCCAGCTGCTGACAGTTGGAGGCCTTCCTGTGGACAGTGGCTAACTGCCTGCAGCCCCCTGGGCAGGGGGCGGGTGTCACACCAGGGTGGGTCTGTGACCCTGTGCTGCACACCCTGTGGCCATCCTGCTGTGTGTGTCACCAGTAGGAATGATCCTGTGGCACGGGTGCCATGGGAAGGTGGTTCTGCAGCCTCAGAGCAGATCCCTGAGCTTAGGAATTGCAAGTTTCAAGGAAGAGTTCTGAAGTCTGATTTCATGGTTGTGGTTATTTATAGCTATGGAGTGGAAGTGTGGAAGGGAATGTGTCGGTAAGGACGGTGTATGACTTTCTGATGGAAGAACTTGTCCATCTGAAGCTGGACATAACTTGTTACGTGAACACATTTTTCAGTTTTCATCTAAGTACGCAAATCATGCCTACGACACTTCTGTAGCCCACAGGCTGGCTTGTGGTGAAATAGCTGCGTCCGTGTGCCCGAGAAGGCACCCGCGCTCCATCCTGTGGGGCTCGCGGCTCTGTGCTGTGTGTCAGGTGAATTTATGATAATGGTCGCTGTTCGTTAAGGGTTTACTACATGCAAGGCACTGAGCTGCTTATTTTATATTATTCCATTTACTCTTACCTGCAGGATAACTATTATTTCCATTTTGTTGTGAGGAAACCGAGGTAGAGGGAGGCGGAGTCAGGTTCCCAGGGCCGTGGGGTCAGGAGGCGGGGAAGCCGCCTGGCCCGGCCTTGTAACTGCAGAGCTCAGGTGTCTGACCACTTGCCGCGCTGCCTGCAGGTCCTCCTGTGTTGTAGGTTATTTCGGGTAATGTAAGGCTAGAGTTTCATTATTCTTTTGCTCTTTCATTTTCAAAAGTTACGGATATTTCATAGGACTAATTCCTGTGTGATGGCAGATTCTGAAATTTTATCAGACATATTAAAAGCCTACAAAGCGAAGGTCTACAGTGGTTGTGTTCATGTGGAAAGTTGCCGATGTAAGTTGACTGAGCTGGATACGAATCAGTCTGTCGTCAGCAGGGTGGGCTTCTTAAGCAAATCATCAGCGCTTCACTTGGCCATCCCACCATGTTCATTTAAATGAAGGTTTGAAAAATGCCAGAGTTCTGATGTTTTGCCTTGATATGTTTGCAGCAGTAATAAAAGTCTCTTCTGACTATCATACTTCTATCCCAGGTGTATCTTGTTTTAAATTCTTAGCCTTTTAAAAATAAACTTACATAAAGTTTAAGATTAGTATTCCCAGTTCTGCTTGGTTCTTTGATATAGAAATATGAAGGAGTTGGACAAGGTCATCTCAGAGGCGGGGGCTTGACCAGATGACCTCTTAGTGCCTGTGTCCACATCACATTGCACCAGCTTCCAAGACACGTATGCATATCAGCGTCCCATCCATCCTAAGCAGTTTTGTATTAGATTCAAAACAATTCCAAATACACAGCAATTACTTAATAATCATTATAAATAGGTTTTAATAGAATTTTGAATTTCTCAACTACATCAATGAGAAATTTACTAATCCATGTCTAATAAAGACAACACTTTTTCCCTTGGGAAGTGGGTTTTTTTATTGTCTTGAATTCATTTTACTCATTTATCATTTTAATGTAAAGACATTTAATTTATATAGCCACTATGTTTTTTCTTTAAACTTTTTTTTTAGATAACTGTAGATTCACGTGCAGTTGTAAGAAATACTGGAGAGGTTCTGGTATACCCTTCACTCAGTTTCCCCAACTGATGACATCTGGCAAAGCCACAGAACAGTGTCACCCCCAGGATACTGACCTTGATGCAGTCAAGATACAGAGCGTTCCCATCACCATAAGGTGCCTCAAGGTGCCTTTCATAACCTCGCCTACTTGGACCTCCACCACCCCCACCCTCATAACCCCTGGCCAGAGACTAACTGGTTTCTATTTTTGTAATTTTGTCACTTCAAAAATGCTATATAAATGGAATCATAGAGCATGTCGTCTTTTCAGATTGGCTCCTTTTACTCAGCAGACTTTCTGGAGATTCTCGTAGGTTATTGCATGAATCAACGTTCATTCCTTTCTGTTGCTAGGTCGTGGTCCCTGGTATGGGGGCAGCAGTTTATTCAACTGCTCACCCGGGGGAGGGCATCTGGGTTGTTTCCAGTTCTCGGCTACTTTGAATAAAGCGTCTATAAACGTTCGTGCATAGGCTTTTCTGTGAACATAAGTTTTCGTTTTTCTGGGATAAATGCCTAGGAGTGCAATTTCTGGGTCATATGTGAGTTGCATGTTTAGTGTTTGAAGAAACTGCCAAACTGTTCTGCAGAGCAGCTGTGTCATTTTACATTCCCACCGGCGGTGAGTGGTCCCGTTTCTCTGCGTCCTCACCAGCAGTTGGTTGTGCCATGGTTTTTCACTTCAGCCATTCTGATAGGTGTGCAGTGATGTCTCACTGTGGCTTTAATTTGTATTTACCTAATAGCTAATGACAGTGAACATCTTTTCATGTGGTTATTGGCCTTTTCAGTGAAATGTCTTTGTCTTTTGCCCATTTTCTAATTGGGTTGTTTGTTTGCCTTTTTGCTGTTGGGTTTTGAGGGTTTATATATCCTAGATTGTATTCCAGTCAGACACAGGGTCTGAGAACACATTTTCTCTCCAACTTGTCTTTTCATTCTCTCCACAGGGCCTTTGCATAGTGAAAGTCTGTAATTTGCCAGTTTTTCCTTTAATGAATCATACCTTTGGTGTCAAGTCTGAGGGCTCTGCTTGGCCCATGATTCTAAAGATTTTCTCCTAGATTTTTTCCTGAAAGTTTTGTAGTTTTACATTTTATATTAAGTCCATGACCCATTTTGAATTAATATTCATATAAATATGGGACATAGGTGAAGGTTTTTTCCCTCCCCCCGTGGCTATCCAATTGCTCCAGTGTCATGTGTTGAAAGGTATATTTCCTCCATTGAATTGCTTTTGTGCCTCTGTCAAAAATTAGTTGGGCAATTTGTGAGGGTCTATTTCTGCTCTGTTCTTTTGGCCTGTGTGTGTGTCCCATCAATAACACGCACTAGGTTACTGTAACTATGTAATAGTTCTATAACTTAGTATATAACTATATTATATAATATATTATAACTGGGTAGACTGAATCCTTCCTCTTTATTGTTTTTTTTTTTCCAAAATACTTTAGCCTTTCCACAAAACTTTTAGTATAGTCTTGTCTATAATGTACAAAAAATATGGCTGAGATTTTGACAGGAATTCTGTTAAACCTCTCTATCATTTTGGGGAGAATTGATGTCCTTCCTATGTTTGAATCTTACAATTGATGAACATAGTATGTCTATCCATTTATTTAGATATTCTTTGATTTTTTTCATCTGCACTATGTAATTTTAAGTGCACAAGTTGTGTATATATTTTGTTAGATTTACACTTCGGTATTTCTATTTTTTTACATTTACAGTTATAAATGGCATTATATGTTTAATCTTAGTGTCCATATGTTCATTACCAGTATATAGAAATAGAACTGATTTTTGTATATTTATCTTGTATCCTGCAACCTCACTGAACTCACTTACTAGTTCTATGAGTTTTACCTTTTATTTCTAGTTCAATTTATTTAACGTTTTTTATGTGCCGGGCATTATGTTAAGCCTTTCGTATGCTTGCCAGGGTCAGTAGGTGGTGGAGCTAGGATCTTGACAGGTAAGTTATTTATTCACTTCATTTGTTCATTTGACAAATATTTAAGGAGAGTTTGTATGGACAATGCTGGATCCAGACACAGGGTTCGTACCCTCCTGGAGCCTGTAGTATGAAACCAGCTTTAGAAGTAACACAAATAGTTCTGTAATTTAATAAAACAAGTTCAAAAATAAAACCACGAAATAAAACAATTAAAAAATACTGTTCATTATAACTTTTAAATGAACAGTCTTTGACTCACCCACCGTAAGGGGTAAAGCAGGGACACCTTAGCCAGCCTGAGTAGAGTAGGAAAATTCAGGGAGGATGTTTATTTCCTAAACAATACTCATTTTTCCAAGAAAGTTTCCCAAGCCAAACAACTTCTTGATTCTTATTAACTTGCATCAATTTTGAATTCAGAGATGTTGTCTGTGATAAAAGCTCATATGAAGAGAATTCTGAACGTTGCTTGTCAAAGAGCCCAACAAATCCTGGCCCAAACTGAATGAAGCGCCCCAGTTGCCTCTGGGTCCAACCCCCCTCCGCCTGCTGTGTGGGCCCCTCTCCTCCCACCCCCACGATCCCACCGAGGACCCCAGGCCTGGGGCCTCCAGCCCAGCAGGTGCAGTCCAGCCCTCATGAGCCTGACCCTCCACCCTGCTCGGGGCTGCGGGCCACGGCCCCTGTGCAAACTCTCTGGCCCCTCACCACTGCGTACCGGGTGCCTCTCTTGAGGGTTCCTTTCCTCCTTTCACCCGGCAAGCTGGGTTTCAGTCATTGGAGATGGGAGGGTGGTCCATTCAGGGAGTGAGATGTGGGGTCAGCTCCCCTTTCTGCCAGTCTGTTTGGGAAAGTCGTCAGTGCCCCTAAGCTTTGGGAGCGGTAAGTACATAAATGTTGCTGGTCATTTGGAAAATAAATTTACGATATAGAAGTTGGTTCCTCCAACAGACTTTGAGGTAAAGACCTCTGTACCCTCTGGGCAGGGAAGGAGCGGGCCCTCACCAGGCACCACTTACATGCACACACAGTGCTTGGCACCTCAGGGCGCTGCTGGCCTGAGTCTCAGCACAGTGGTTGGTCCCGAGCCAGCACTGTCCCCACTCCTGTGTCTTTCTCCCCTCAGCAAGCCCCTCTCCTGCCCTAGGAGTGAGGATATTTCCGTCTCTTCATATTTTTCCCACTAACTATAGGAGAAATCACTTGTCTTTGAGTCAGCGTGGAAGAAGGAGAAGGACATAGTTTCCAAGGAGATAGAGAAGCTGCGTGTGTCCATCCAGACTGTGTGCAAGAGCGCGCTGCCCCTGGGGAAGATGATGGACTACATCCAGGAGGATGTGGATGCCATGCAGAACGAGCTGCAGGTGTGGTCCGGCGAGAACAAGCAACTGGCCGAGGCCCTGCGGCAGGAGCAGAGGTCAGTGGGGGGCCATGGGCGCAGGGAGCCAGCCGGGCTACCTGGAGCCCGGGGAATCTCCCAAGCAGAAGGGGCACAGGACAGTGGGCACGGGGAGCCGGCAGGCCTACCTGGAGCCCGGGGAATCTCCCAAGAAACTACTGCCTCCCAACCTCCCCCCTTTCCTACCTCCTCCCCCACAGGAAATGTGCTCTTTTTTCATGTGTATCATGGCATGCACTTGTTTGCAGCAGTTAGAAAAGGTTTAAAGTGAGTGTTAATACACAAAAAAGATTTAGACATTAAAAATTTCAGGAAACTGCAGTTCAGATACCATTGTTTTCAAGTGGCTTATCAAAATCCCCAACATTTTGTGTTTAGTTTAGAAGTATTTTAATTTTTTACTCTTACGAGAAATGCTGATGAACCCATTTTGAAATTGCTGCTCTAAAAGAAATACAATAGCCACTAGAAAGATTTGGGAAAATGTTTGATATTCTGTATTTATAATCAGTGAATCTGGGATGCATGTAACTGTCAGCTGTTAAGCATGTTTTTCAGAAAACACTTGATTTGACTCAATAAGCCTATGTAATAACAAGCTATATTATTTTAAAGTTATCTTGTTCTTAAAAAAGTCCCCTAAATTTTGCAATCGATGGCATGAAAGAAGTTAGATAATCACTGAATGCTGTTTGGTGCTGGCTCTAATGTGATGAGAGGATTTCCTTTCTTACATTTGAGTTTAGGCATTAAAAAAAAGCATTGCCCTGGATGTTTCTTCTTTAAAACCTGATTTTTCTTTATGGTCGGAAGCTGCTGCCCCTCCTTGTGTTTATTCTGAGTTTACAAGCTCACACAACACAAGGGAAGGGCCCATGCGACCTCAGCTTTCCCAAGTTTGTTTAGACTTTTCCTGGTACTTAATTCAGTGTCTTGAACAACTGAGTCAAGGGGCCTCCATGGGGAAGAGTTTGCTGTCCAGTCTGTCTGGGAAAGTCAGGCTGTCCAGGTGGCAGTTCTTGGCGTTGCTGGACCTTGCAGCCCACCCCCCTGCCTTCCCCATGGCTCTGCGCCAAGGATGTAGTTTTAAGGACTTTAAGAAATATTAGCCTCGTTTATATGAACTTCATATTCGACTTCACTTGGGGTGGTGGTGGGGATAGTGAAAATAAATTTTTTCCAGGTGTGAGGTTTTGTTCCTTTATGTCATTGGCACAGTGTGTTTATATTTCTACCCTTTTCCTTTGGACGCAGTGAATAATTGGCTTCTGTTGTCTCCCAGTGTTTTAATTTAGAAGCAAATCTAAAGTGAGAAGAGATAGTTATGAGCCTGTTTTTGTTTTCCGTCAGCATCACAGATGGTACCGTGGAGCCCCTAAAGGCAGAGCTGGCGGAGCTGGAGCAGCTGATCAAAGACCAGCGGGACAGGATCTGTGCGGTGAAGGCCAATATCCTAAGGAACGAGGAGAAAATCCAGAAGATGGTGTACAGTATCAATTTGAGTTCGAGAAGGTGAAAGCTCAGAAGTCTCCAATGTCACAGATCCTCCTCACTTTGAAAATAAAAAGGAAGCGAGAACATTATTACCCTTCACATTGCAGCTTGCTAAGAAAACGGACAGATTACAATGAATGTTACCCGCCCAGTTTTCAGAGCTTTAAAACTTCAGGCATGCACAGTGGATAAGCAGACCATGTGTCTTCCCTTCCTCCAGCCAGAACACTGGCTAGTAACAGATTCCCCAGGCCTGAGCGAGCAGCTCCCGGCAGGCCTGGCCCTGCTGCTTGTGAGGTGCCTGTTCTGCCCAGTCCTGCACCCCGAGTCTCCCCGGTGAGTGGGGCTGGCGCCTCACGGGAACAGCGGTCCTTCATCTCAGCCTGTAAGCCCGTGGCAGGGCCTCTGTGAGTCACGTATGGGATGGGGGGGGGTGGCTGCACTTCATGACAGGCGTTTTATAAATAGACTGAGGCCTGAAAATAAGTAAATAACATTTTTAATTCATTTGTACTTGTAAAAGGTTCATTTCAGCCTGTATTTTTACAAGGTACACAGTAACCTTTTTAAAACCTCTTTGTAATTGCATACACTTCTTTATGTAATGTGCTTACTGTTCCCGACTATCTTTTACTCGTGTTTCCAGCCCTTAAAGTTTGTAAGTTTAAAAAGGAGGTTTCGGTATGGCCTTCACGGAGATTGTCTGGATGTGAGATTGTCATAGGCTCTCGCCTCGCTTTGTCCAGCGTCTTGCCCCTGGTTTCCCCTATGCAGACGCTGGGGAAGCTCCGTGGGGGTCCTGGTGCTCTCTGGGCGGAGCTTGCTCTCCAGGGCCTCGGCATCATGCTTCTCAGTCACCTGTGCGCGCTCCCCCGCGACACAGGAGCTCAGCAAAAACTGAAAAAGGAAGACTTAAAAGGGTGCATCCATTTACAAAATTGTTTTGGAAATTGTTTTTTAAAGCAAAGGTATTTTTTAAAAACATGGTTTTATTTAGTTTTTCACTTACATATAATATTGTAAGTACTAAAGTCTTAACTTTAAAGGATCTGCTATTCGAAGACATGCTTACAGGTCTCAAGGTCTAGGTCTCGATACAATATACTCTAGATATTGTATTTATTAGGTAAACTGAGGAGTGCCATTCATGTGTTAGAACTGGTCTGAGAAAGTTGTGTTTCTTTAAGGATGAGCACAAATGGCACAGTTTAGGTTTTTGTAGTGTAATTTCCAAAATCCTTTTCTGACATATGATTTTCTAAGCTGGATGAGCTCACGACTGGATCATTAAGGTCTGCCATTTGGAGATATTGGCCGTTTTCTCCTCCCTGAAGTGCACTGTAAGGTTGATCAGATTATGCTGAATACACTATTGGAGGAGCAGAGGGCTCTTAGTTAACTCACCCTTCGTGTACTTATGACCTCCTTTCCTCTAAATTGTATGGCGTAGCCACCCCCCTAAGTGGACTGTTTGCTTCAAGCTAAGATTCTGACTTTTATGAGTTTGTATATATGAATAGAATGTTTGTGTTGCAAAAAATTGCTTACATTTTTTGTGAGTAAAATTTTGTATTTAGTCTATCAAATTGTATCATAAAATTTATTTTTCTTTTATACACAAATCATTAAAAATAATCACATATTTTTTCTATAAAGGTCTGGGTTGTACAATTTAGTTCACACCTGGAAAAAAACGTAAGCATTTGGACAAGCTTCTGCCTGAGGTGGACTCTCAGTTTAACTCTGTCCTGCAATGTACTTCATTAATAAAAATGTGTTGCATTTTTCTAAAAGGTGTTTGGGTAAGTATAGTTTACCCAAGCTTTACAGTAGAGCCGGGCTGTAGCCCTGGAAGAATCCCTTTTTGGCTTGGTATGTCTGTTTTCATAAAGGGAGATTTGGGAAGAACATTTTTAAAAACTCAGCTAGACAAAAGAAATTTAAATGGCTTTGTAAACAGTGAAGCTTGTTTTTAAGTCTGTATTTGGATCTGAGTTCCAAATTGGTTATCAGCTCTTAAACCAAGCAAGTTGGTCTCTGCCAAGAAAATGGGCTTCAAAAGAAAGAAGCCAAGTCCGTAATCACGGAGGCTGTGGGCGCTGGCCGAGGAAGAAGCGGCGCCTTGCAAACGGGCAGCTCCTGGTCCTGGACTCCCGGCTCCCCGGGGCCGCAGCGCAGCGCGCCTGGGTCAGGACGCCGGGCGGCCGCCCGCGGGTCGCCCCCACGTGCCCGTTCCCCGCGCGCGCCCGGCCCC